CCTTCGAGGACCTCACCGTCGTACGTTGCGATCGTTCCGACCTTCCGCCTCGATTTTTGCTAATCAGACCATTCCACTCCAGGACGAGGTTGCTGCTGCCCAGCCCGAGATCGACGAGAAGACCTCCTCCCTTGTCCAGAAGGGTCGCTGGATGCCGGCCGGCTACAAGGTGAGATTTCCAACCATTGACTGTGCCAGTAATATAAAAGTCATGAGAAGCAAACAGGCTAACCATTCTTTGCAACCTACAGGAGCGCTTCGGCGAGATGTCCGTTGTCTAAACTGGCTGAATCCCTTGTATGCCATTTCCGTCCACCTTTGTCCTGCAACCTCCAGATATAGCCACACAACACACAAAGCAAGACTTGTTCTCGTACTTATCTGTCAAGCATGTTGGCCAGCTAGGATACCCTTTTGTCTGTCTGGTCGTGTGATTGCTGGTTGTAGGACTATGTATAGAAAGATGTTCAATTTATCGTTTTCTCATCCTTATTTGGTTGTAGGCTGTAGGTTCGATGTGTCAATTATGGGTTGAATATGCATCGTCTGTTCTTTCGATGCTTGAATGGCTTGTCAAGGTCTTGGTGTGCGCTGAGTACAAAGGAGAGCATGTATCCCTGCGCGAATGTGATGTAGACACGAAGGCCGACATCTCATGGAAAGGGGTGTTGACGTATTGTCGTAAATACAGCACCCCGGCCAAGTACCAGTATCTTCAGAGTATCAAGCTATATTCCATCGTCAGATGAAGTAGGATTGCTATAGCACCATACGGATGTGTCAATCATCAATCTCAGGAGTTCCGGTATCAAGTAGACTTGTGTTGATAGCTCTTCTTCCCATATGTCACGATGATCCAAGATAACCTTGATATCTTGACACAGTAAAGATGTAGTGTCTCTTTCCAGGTAGAATGTGACCACTAGAGGTCACGCATAGATATCAAAGTTCCTTCATGTACACAGAATCATCTACCACGTGCAAGTCCACCCGAGGATTCCCCGATCGGCCCAACCACGTTTCCTGTTAAACTCACTTACGTGGAATTGTTATCCTGAACTATATCCACAGGGTCATGAGCAGTACAATCCCTTATACAGGAGAATGCTCATTAGTCTTTGCATTGTCCCCTTATATGCAATGAGACATGTTGCCGCATGAAAGAGGCGAGCACTAAACCCACCTAGTGTTAGCAACGGCGCAGCTCTGACGCACAGCGATGCTCGATCTCCTCCAAGGACAGTACATCACATCTCAATTGATTCTTTGCTTCTCGAAGTACTCACAGTGATCAAAAGCAATGCGTGACTTGAGCATCCAGTCCTCACAGTCCACCCCAGCGCAGGGCCGATACTGAGAGGCGTCTCGCCATAGAACTTGTTGAAGTGTATACATACATCAGGAGTCTACACCAGGAGTCTACAACACCAAATGCCTCCTCCTCCCAGCAATCCAGCCACGGCAGGCTCAAGACTCGAATCTCTCCCCGTCGAGATCATCCAGGAGATCTTCCTGCACAGTCTCGAGGTCAACCTTCCGCGCGCGTCTCCCCGGCTCGCGGAAGCCCTGTCCACGCCGGCGCTATACACCTGGCTCATCCGGCTCGCATTCAGCAGCACCAACGCCAGCGCCGCCACGCACTTCTTCACGCGGGACTTCCTCCCCCGGCCCCTCGATTTCTTCGCACTATCCCCAGTGGAACGCAGAGACCTGCAGACCACCCTCCTGGCCTGCCGCTGGTGCACCCTGCCGCTCATCCGGCAGTGCCAACGCGACTACCTCCTGCACACGATCCACCAGAAATGCCAGCCGGGGAGGGACTTCCTCTTCTCGCAGCAGGACGAAGCCACCCTCCTCTCGCTAGAGGAGCAGCTATCCAGCCTCATCCACCAGGCCGGCCAAACCACCACCACCATCAGCAGCAGCAGCAGCTGCTGCTGCTGCCCCGGAAAAGGCGACCTAATCCTCCACGCGCACCCCTACCCCAACCCATCACCAACATCACCCACATCACCCACATCACCCACATCACCAACATCATCAGCCACGACCACCAAACCCCACCGAAGGAACCCCCACAAAATAGCCCTCTACCTCCACCTCGGCGCCCTCCAAATCCGCAGCCCCAACGACATCTACTCCTCCACGCACCCCTTCACAGCAACCAGCACCACCACCGCCACCACAGCCAACACCTACCGCCTCCCCGCCTGCACCGTCCCCAGCCCCACGGGCACATTATCCTGCCGCATCCCCGACAAACTCCTGTCCCCGCCCTGGAGCCCCGCCAAGCTCGAGTTCCTGGCGCTGCTGGCGGCCGACGCGTCCCTCGACGACACGCCGGCGCACGACCGGTCCCGGCGCGTGCTGCGGCAGACGATCCGGGCGCGGGAGTTTGCGGTCTTCCGGACGCTCCTCCGGTTGAGGGTGCGGGTGCCCTGGTATGATTTCCCGGTGCCGTGGCCCGTCTCCGTGAACCATTTCTGCGCGGCGGTGAAGTATGCGGATGGGCCGGGGGATGGGTTTGTGAGGGTCCTGGTGGAGGAGAGGTTGGGGGATGGGGAAGGGGGGCTGACGAGGGAGGAGGGGGAGAGGGTGAGGGGGTTGTTGGTGCAGGCGGGCATGGGGGGCGTACTTGGGTTATAATCCTTTTTCTTGCAGTAGATGTATATCGATGAGAAGGGGAGGAGGACTCTCTTACTACCATGTATAATGTGGGCGGAAGCGGTTGATACTCTAATCTTGGGACAGTGTTACATTATCATTATGCATATGCATAAACATATGGGATGTAGATATGGAAAGAATCATATTAATTCAAGGAAGAGAATCCATAAAAACCACAGGATAGGATATCAAAACCATCATCACCAACAAGAGACAAGTACACGATTTCGAAGCGAAACGAAACGAAACACGCAAACGAAAACCACCAGCGCAATCCATAAGTCGTAACCTCGTTAGAACGAAGATCAGATCAGATCAGGGTAGATCAAATCCGAGCCACGAATAAAAAGAAAGGGTATAGCGAACCCCCTACCCATCCCAGCAGGGTATCTTTCCCCCTCCTCTTCACATCTTCTTCAGGCAAGATCTAGACCCTCGACCTCCGGCCGTGCGTCCGCGTCCGCCGCCGGTTCCCGCAGTACCCGCAGGTGAGGCACGAGATGATCACGTCGAAGAGGGTGACGATGCCGTCGATGATGGCCTTGCAGACGGAGCCGATGGTGTTGACGATGCCCATGAGGCAGGCGCCGATGGCGTGGAAGACGCTTTGGATCTGTTGGTGGAGATCGTTAGCACATAGGTCGCTTAGCTTTCACCTTCGGGAAGAATGCCCAAGTCTGGGGACGTACACAGGAGACGACGGCGCCCATTTTGTTTTATGTTTTCTTGGGTTTGGTATCTGTGTGTGGAGTGGTGGTGCAGTTGTGGTAGTTGTAGTGGTGGTGTAGTTGTAGGTATAGCTTTGCTTGTTGTCTTTAGGAATGGCAGTGGCAAGTAATCGGCACTTATTTCTCAGTCTTGGTTCCCTGGGACGAATAACTCGATGAAGCAGTAGTGTGGACAGTGGTGTCGGTGAAAGGACGCATTGTATGCTTTTTGGATCTGGTTCCTGAGGAGGAGGGGAGTGAAGTATAAATATCCGAAGCAGGGAGCGAACAGCCAGACAGACTTAAGGGTTGGTTCTCGTAGTCTCTCGAATGATGTATGTGTGTGTGTAGTGAGGTTAGTGTAGTGTACATGCCACAACGAAAGGAAAAAGGAAAAAAGATCAGCACACTACGGAGTACCGAGTATCAAACACGGGACAGAAACTGCAAATTGCAAGCAAGCAATGATGCCGTCATAACGACATATGACATCGTTTTTCTTTTGTGACTGTGTGGTTCGCATCGGCGCCATGCCAGGCTTTGGTTGACCCTCCTAATGCGGAAATGGGAAAAACCCTTGCGGATCGTGACGAGCGTACTACTCCGGTACACTACCCTTACTATCACTAAACTGGACTATAGGATCATGTAGAGGCACTAAGTGAGGACAGGGTCTCGCCACCGATAAGGCTGGCAGGTTCGAGAACCACATCCTCCTTAAAACTGCACCTTTTGCGCACTCACATCTGGACAGCGGCTGAGGGTTACTTCACGGTGTGACGTCATACGTCAGTCCACCACAGGACGTACTCATACTGCCAAAGCACGGTTCGCATTCTAATTCTTGAAGAGGGTTTAAGGGGCACAGTTGCACGTGATCCTTAGCTTTTCTGATGGCAACAAGCCAATGACATATCTCGGTATGGAGCACAGCCAGTATAACATCATGGATACCTGACTTTCGGGCATGAAGGGGACACAAGTCCACAAGTCCACAAGTCTCCACTTGGTCTGGGGTAAAAAGTCTACGAAAGGTGGATGCAGTGCTTATGACATAGTACGACCCTAGCACAACCCTTTGTCTTAAGGTTGGGCTTGTCAGGGGTAAGCCTCGTCCGTTCGTTTGTGGAAAGTGTTGGCCGAGATGATGTTGTTGTGTTGCGCGTTTTCGTCGGAGGGCGGGCGCCGCCGCCGCCGCCGCGGGAGATGGTGATCTGCGCTGCTGTACTTATTACATCTTATGCAGTAAAACTTACCACTGATGATGTCAATAGATAGCAATGGGCCAGCCACTCAGCCCTATTTGCGACGGGATACTCTGGGCTGCTGGCAATCCTCATACGTAGTTGGCGGAGCCCCTGCAGAGGTTCGGAGGATGATCCTGCAGTTCGCAGGTGGTGATTATGAGTAAGGCTGGTGGTGACTTGGCTGGTGAGCTGGTCCTGGTGGATGTATGTCACTTTGGCAGTCATCCTCGTCAAATGGCAACAGTAAGCAGGGCCAGAACTGTCGATCACTGAAATCCATGCAGCGATATGATTAATGTATATGGAAGTACTATGATACAGCCAACTCCCCGCCCTAATATACAGGTATACACGCCCCGCGTAGGGAGACAGTCCAGCCCTACATATTCCCTAACAACCGCAGGATGCCCCTCACTCTGCCCGCCAACGTAATCTGATATCCCGTCTCCACCACGCCCTTACACATTTCCCACGCCCCCGTACCATTCTCCCGTGCACCTTCCCCTTTATTGATCGGATAGTCCACCCGCGGCGGGATTCTCGTCGCCATCAACTTCGGGAACCGATCCACGCACACGGCCTTGAGGTTACTCACGCCGCGGAGGCCCTCCTCGCCCGCGAACCGGCCGTACCCGGAGCCCTTGACGCCGCCGAACGGCAATTGCACCGCGTAGTAGCTCCCGAAGTCATTGACCGAGACCATCCCGGACCGAATCTCCTTGATGCACCGGGCGGTGTCCCGCGGGTCGTAGCCGAAGACGCTAGCACCCAGGCCGTACTCAGTCGAGTTGGCGATCTCAATAGCATGCGGCACCGAGCTGGCGCGCATCAGCACGAAGACCGGCGCAAAGAGCTCCTCTTGCGCGATGCGCATCTCCGGTGTGACGTCCGCGAGCAGCGTGGGGGTGAAGTAGTGGCCGAGGGGGTGCTCAGGGTGGGAGAACCGCTTCCCGCCGCAAACCAGGCGGGCGCCCTGCTTGACGGCGTCGTGGATCAGGGATTCCAGTCGATCGAAAGAGGCCGGGGAGATCATGGCGCCCACATCAGGGGCGCCCTGGGGTGACAACAGGACGGAGCCCAGGCGGAGTTTGGCGATGCGCGCGGAGACGATGTCCAGAAGCCGGTCGTAGGCGCCGGGGAGGGCGACGATGCGTTCGATGCCGATGCAGTTCTGTCCCGCGGACTGGAAGACACCCCGCATGAGGATTGAAGCGATGGCCGGTAGTTCATGCACGGTGCGCGAGTCGTCCAGGATGAGCGACGGGTCCTTGCCGCCCAACTCCACGGTGACAGGCGTCAGGGCTTTGGCGGCGGATGCGCAGACTTTGTGCGCCACGGGGCGGGAGCCGATGAAGGTGAGCAGGGAGATGCCTGGGTGGGAGGTCAAGTAGTCGCCCACACGCGGAAGGCAGACGACGCTCTGGACCAGCTCGCGAGGGTGGCCGCAGCTGGTCAGGGCGCCGCGGATGACCTCCAGGAAGAAAGTCGTGCACCAGGCCGTCTGCTCGGACGGCTTCACCACGATGCCGTTTCCTGCGAAGATAGCGCTGATTACGGGCGAGATGAAGTTGTGGAAGGGGTAGTTCCAGGAAACGCAGGCCGAGACCACGCCCAGAGGTTCGTAGGTGACCATGTTCTTCTTGTACATCATGAGGAAGTTCGTAGGGCGCGATTCCGGCGTCAGAGCCTTTTCACCGTGGTCGAGGGTCCATTTAAGCTTCTCAGTGGTCACCAGGATTTCTCCGAAGGAAGCGTCCACCTTGGTCTTTCCAGAGTCTAGGCAGCAGGCGGTAACGAGTTCGTCTTGGTGGTCGAGAACGTATCTATTGCGGGCCCGAGTGTTAGCAACAGAGTCTCTCAGGACACACAAAGAGAGATGTACTTCAGCAAAGTCCGTAGAACCTTCCTCCTCTCCGCGAAGCTAGTCTTGGACCATTCTGCCTGTGCTTTTGCTGCCGCCTTAATCGCTTGATCGACGTCTTCCGGGGTCGCAGGTTTGATTCCAGAGCCGAGAACTCTTCCATCAGCGGGACAGTAGCTCATAATCAGGTTGTCGTTCCATTGCTATTTCAGGTATCATTTCGAATGAGTTTCTGATCTGCCGAATCACAAGCAGAAAACGGACAATAAACTTACCCCTCGAACCTGCCCCTCAACCACCCTCTTCGCTTCTCCATCAAGCTGATCCCATTTCTTCCCTTCCCAATTGGCTCTAATCTCCGCAGGAATGGGCACATTGAACGTGACGGCAGCCTCCCTCTGGCTCAGAACGTAGACGTAACCCAGATACACCGCGCCGAGCGACAGCAACGCGACGCCCAACAACGGGCCTTGGATCTGGAGATGTTCCACGATGGGCTGGAAAGCCGGCGGGACGAATTGGGCCAGCGTGTCCATATTGAGTTGAGATTTCAACGAGTGAACTGGCGCTGTTGGGTTGTGCCAGACACTTTTTTTTCTCTGGCGAAACCAGTTCAGGAGGGGAGGGAGGGAGGGACAAAAGGGAAAGAGTCCGGGTGGTTCGATTGTTTATCGCTCCCTCCGATACGCGGGCGCACGGGCCACCGGGCGTGCTGTCGGTGGGTTCATTTGGGGTTCAACTGGTCGATTCGAGGTCCAAGTATGAGGATCCCAACTTGAAGATTATATACACATTAGTGTATGTAGCACAATTGAACTAATAAGCGTCATTCAGCAAGAGAGCTCGATGCTTTTTTCTTGTCTAGCAAAATAGGGGAGGTGATATTTTCTAGCAACGAGCAACATACGGGGTACATATATATCTCCAGGAGGGGTTCCGCAGCATAATTCTACACGTAGTACCCATTAAACACCCAAGCAATGATCCAAGCCCATCTATTAGACCCCTGCTTTTCTCTTCCCAGTCCTCTTCACCAGGTGATCGATGACACAGCCCTCCTCCCACCGCGCAGAAGACTGTCCCGTGATAGCCCGACATCGCGGGCAAGACTTCCCATGGCGGATGAGCAACTGATGCAGCGAATACTTCAGATGGTCCGGGATGCGCACCTCCAGATGACCAAACGCCGTCACCTCGGTCACCTTGCTCGGCGGCACCCAGCCCAGCCACTTGCAGATGCGGAAGATATGCGTATCGACCGCGAAGCAGGGCCGCTGCAGACAGAACAGCAGCACGCAGCCCGCCGTCTTAGGCCCGATGCCGGGATACTTGACCAGCTCCGTCATCGCCCGCTCCGTGCTCAGCGTGTGCAGGTGGTTCAGATTCAGGAAGTTCTGGTCCGCGCACGCAATCTCGTAGTTCTTGTGACCCTCGGACTGGTTATTCAACACCCCCTCCGCCGTGGCCGCCGACGCCTTCCCCTCAGCATCAGCGTCGGCATCCGAACCACCACCACCAACCAACAAATCCCGGCGCGCCTTATTCTCCTCATACACCATGTCGAGAATCGCCTTGATCTTCTTACTCTTCACATCCGCCAACCCGCCGCGCTTGATCGCCTCAAAGACCTCCCGCACCGGCGCCCGCCGCACCGCATCCCAATCCACGCTCCCCTTGCCGATCCCCTCGCGCAGGATCCCGAACCGCTGCACCAGCCCGTTGAACGCCATGGCCGAGTTGTTCCCCGTCGTGGCCCCGCTCAGCAGCGTCCGGATCAGCGCGTCCAGCACGGACGGCACCTCGCCGCACCCCGTCACGGTCAGCGAGGGCTCCGGGATGGTCGCGGGGGCCACGATCCGGCCGTGGATCGACGACAGAAGCCGGTCGACTTCTTCGCATTCGTCGGGCGTCGGGTGGGGCCAGTTGGGGAAGGGGCTGACTCCGGGGGTCAGGCCGTATTGGTTCGCTTTCGCTTTCGCTCGCGCTGCTTTTGCGGGGGATTTCTTGCGCGGGGGAGACAGGTCGTCATCATTGTGCGATGTGGCTTTGTCGACGGTGGTTTGGAGGTCTTTTGCGAGATTGTTGATTGCTTCTTCTTCCTTCTTGATGCGAGAGTTGGCCGGGGTTGTGGGGGATATCACCGCGCCGAGGTTGTGAGGGAGGTCGTTGAGGTCCTTGTTTTGTGGGGGAGTAGTGGCGTTGTTCCTCTTGCGCCGCTTGGGAGCGGGTTCCAGGATGGCATCCTCGGTCTTGACCTGGAGGGGACTGTTGCGTTGCGACCGATTTCGTCCTTGGCTGGGGGAAGTCGTGGAAAGGCGGACGCTCGGGACTTGGGATGATGTAGAGTTGCTGGATTGCGCTTGAGAGGCGGCTAATGCTGCCTGGCGCGCAGTGGTGGAGCGGGTTATGCGGACCATCTTTAGATCTTTGGGAATGTGTAGAACACAGGACTGAAGTTTTTAACTGGGAGGTACAAGACGGTTTAGCAAAAAAAGCAAAAAAGACAGGAAATGTACAGGTTCTTCCGACGCGGAAGGTGCATTAGGCAAATTCTATCGGTATGTACAAATTATATCATCAATGGATGTAGCATCATCGTCATGAGATGAGTCAAAAAAAGACAAGTAGTGTAGTTGGGTCACATGATGTGGCGGGATCACTTCCGTTCAGCCCCCTTCAACAGTACGTCATCTCAGAACAACATGTCTTCAAAGGTATTTGACAATCATGGTAAGGTAAGGGTATTCCAACCCGCGCCCTTCCTGTCATGCACTGCACACACACACAAACACCAAGCAGATAGCCACTCTATGTTCTTGCAAAACCACCGTCTACAAAACTCCAAGACTCCTTGGTTCACGCAGTATGCCCCACCAATTGGTATCAACTCAAGCCATAACCTCGTAATCAGTGATGGTCGCCCATGTTGTGAATGCTGATATCCATGCGGTCCTTGACCTTGGGGTGCTCCTCCTGGGAGTGCTTAGGGGCGCTGATGATGCCCACCTTGGGCACCTCCGACTCGCCGGGATTGGCCGCGGGGACGATGTTGCCATTGGAATCAAGCTTGACGCCGTTGGCAGCCATCTTGAAGTCCGTCTCACTGGCGAAGCCATGCGTAACAGCCTCCTTGGCGCGGTCCAGGGCCTTGATCTTGCGGCCCTCACCGCGAAGCTCCTCCAGGTGCTCGAAGTAGCCATCCGAGACGGGGGTGATGTAGTTACCGCAGAACACACCGACCTCGAAATCCTGAGGCTCAGCGAGGCCGTTCTCCTGGGCAATCTCGGCACATGCGCCCTTCAGATCGTCCAAGGTCTGGTAGATGACGCTATCAGCACCAATGTGCTTGGCAATGTCCACCACGTTGCGACCGTGGGCAACCAGCTCGGTAGGCGATGCCAGATCAATACCGTAGATGTGAGCATGGCTGTAGTGAATCGTTAGCGAATGTCTCGGTCCGGAACCCGGGGGATGCCGGGAATACTCACGTGATCTCGGGAGCGCAACTGGCGAAGTAGACCTTCTTGGCACCGGCTTCCCGGGCCATGGTGACGATCTCTCGACTCGTCGTACCACGCACAATACTGTCATCAACCAGAAGGACATTTCGGTCCTTGAACTCGGCTTGCATAGCGTTCAGCTTGCGGCGAACACCCTTCTGTCTCGTCTTCTGTTCGGGCATGATGAAAGTACGGAAGACATAGCGGTTCTTGACGAAACCTTGGCAGTATGGCTTGTCGAGATACCGCGCGACAGCAGCGGCCGAGGTGGTGGATGTCTCAGGGATGGGGATGACCACGTCGATGTCCTTGACCACTTCCGGTCCAAGGATGTCGAGAATTCTGGCAGCAAGACGGTCACCCATACGCTGGCGACTACGGTACACGCTGATTCCGTCGATGACGGAGTCAGGGCGGGCGAAGTAGACGTATTCGAAGATGTCAGGAGCGTAGGCCTTCTTGGGAGCCACCTGGCGGAAGACAGGCTCGGCGCCCTTCTGGATGATGACCGCCTCACCAGGCTGGATGTCACGGATGTTGGTGAATCCAAGCTGGTGCAGCGCAACCGACTCGGAGGCCATCATGTAGTCCATGCCATCACAGTCTGTTGAGGGTCGGGAACCGAGGACAAGAGGACGGATGCCGTAGGAGTCACGGAAACCAAGGATGCCAAATCCTACTGAGGTCAGCTGAGATCCTGGATGCGCGGGCAGGGGTTGACATACCGGCAAGCATAGCCGTGCAGGCGAAACCACCCTGGCATCTTTCGTACATGCGGCTCAGACTGGCAAAGACATCTTCGTTGTTGACACGTGCCTTCTTGGTCTCGCTCAACTCATCCGCCCAGATGTTCAGCATCAGTTCGCTGTCACTGTCGGTGTTGATGTGGCGGTGGGCCTCGAGGTCCAGATATCTCTTCAGCTCGGGAGCGTTGATCAGGTTGCCGTTGTGGGCCATGCAGATTCCATATGGACTGTTCACATAGAAGGGCTGGGCCTCAGCATTGGCACTGCTTCCGGCGGTAGGATATCTCAAGTGTCCGATTCCCATTGAACCCGGGAGGTCTGCCACCCTGGCGCCGTCATTGAAGACCTTGGCGGCCATACCGTTCGACTTGAGCTGGTAGAAACGACCGCCGGTAGCGCACGTGGCAATACCAGCTGCATCCTGACCTCTGTCTGCATATCGGGGATCATAAATTAGCCTCGAACACGAGGTATTTGCTGGTGTGTACTGCGGAGTGACTCACGCTGAAGCAGGTAGAGTGCCTCATGGAGATCGACGGCAGCGGAAGCCGACGGGTTCGCCTGAATCAAAGCGATAATACCACACATCTTCACGGTAAAGAATTCTATATGACAGAACAGGATAAGGTCAGTAAGATTCTCCGAACTGAACTCCTGTCAAAGCTAATCAAGGTTATGCAGCTTGAATCAGATCGGAAAATGTCCGCAATGATGCTTAGGAAGTCTAACATCTATAAAAAAAAACCGAAATTCATCATAAAGCAGGGAGGCAAGGATAGGGTGTGAAAGTTATTTACTAAGGCATTGAATAATTGACTCACATCTGAAAGGGGATATTTCAAGATAGTCTTGGGAGTACACGCACAGTGTGATGGTAGGGTGGTAGAAACCGGAACTTGGCGAGTTGCAAAAAAGTGTGATAGAATCGAAAACGTCTATAGAGACATAACAGGATTCATGTAAAGGAGAGTGAGGGGAGAAACAGGTGGCAACAATGCCCAGAATCACGTCCACGGAGGAAACAGTGAGCTGGATAACATGGTTAAAGAAGTTTTAGGAGGGAAAGAGGAGAGGAGGGGAAGAAATGGGGATCCCATCTTAATAGATTTCTTCTCCTCGCTGTTCCCAATTTTCTTTTTTCCCCACCACCAGCCGAGAGGAGGCGCTAAACCCAAGAGGAAAAATTTTGTGACCCAATTTTACTAAGTTTACTAAGTTTACTAAATTAACTGAGTAACACCGCCAGGGCCACCGGCTGGCCGGTTGCTTACATACGGTACCTTACTTTCTGGCAGGAGTATTGCCGATGCCGGAGCAGGCGGTCAGCGGTCGGGAGTTCGTTCCCGGCTTCGGCCTGGCCTAAGGCATCGACTGCCGACTGCTGTGCTGGAGTTCTCCTTCCGTCTGGCGAACTATTTACCATTTCGGGAAGTCTGTACATCTTCAAGCACAGTCCAGATTGCTGTAGATTCCTACTCCACACCTCCAGACTTGCTTATGAAAGAAAATTGAACTGACCAGGATGGCAGTTGAAATCAATCCATGTTCATTTTCATGTCTGTCGCATTTCAGCCTTTGTCTGTCCTCTGGAAACAATTCACTGTGGTGATGTCCGAATGCACCGACTAAGCGGCTATGGCTGGCTCAAGCTTGACTCTCTTTTCTTTGTTTGACATCTCCGATGTCTCAGATAACTGCTGGAATCTGAGATTGTGTTTCTCTTCTTCCTTCTGCAAACTTTTTCAAATGCTTTAGTCTATATCAACTTCTGCACTCCAGAATCTCTACCTTCCTCCTCATCCCACCCTGCACCTACATTGACTTCGCTGGCCTCCTCCTACAGCTTCACTGAACTGAATTCATCTTGTTCTCTTCATATGGATACTTCCAACTCATCTTTTTGACTCGTTACATCGTTCTGCTCGCTCTGCTTGGGATCATGTTCAACTTCAACTCCAGAAGTGAACGTATCGAACAGTGGTCGTTCGTCTACCAGACAGCATGTGACTACGATTCAGATGAAAGTAGTGTTACGCTTGGAGATGAATCTGAAAGAGCAGTCTCTCTGAGCTTTGCGGAGGAAGTCCTACAGAATCCACCCGGCCGTACAAATCCCGCACCTTCAAACGAAGAGCGCGAGATCATTGACCTCACTATGGATGGTTTTGCTCCCGGGGACTATCTGACAGATGAAGCCTACGAACAGTTACTGCGGGACTTAGATCGCGCTGAGCCTCAAACTCCTGCAGTACGATCCCGTCTTATCACAAGGCCAGAGAAACGCCGGTTGCCTGAGGTGTGCCTCAATGGAATTGTGTACAAGAAAGGCCAATCCGTTCAGCTTCACGATGGTACATTCCTCAGAATTGAAGAAGTTCTGGCAGATCGTTCTGCCGATATCTTCTTTCGCGGAAGACGCCTGATACACACGAAAAACCACAGGGGCAAATACATACCAAGGTGGGACCATGAGCTTGTCTGGATCGCGAATGAGACAATAGACATTCCGTCCAACCAAGTTAAAAAGTTTGTCCGGATCACGTTTACGAACTTCTGCATGATCCAGAAGGACTGGGTCAAGCACCACCAACGCCCCAAAGACCTATTTTGTCGGCTCAAAGAGCATTACGGAGACAAGAAACCATCATCAGTGGAATACCTCACCTGGGATGAAGCAGACGAAGGATTCAAATTCGACCCGCCGAAGCTCCGCCGTGCGTGGCGGGGTGAGACCAAGCCTTTTGGAGCGTTCGACCCTGGTGAAGTCGTGGAACTCGATGATGACAAGCTGCATCGAACCAGACACGACCCAGTTCACGCTATGAAGCGACGTCAGTATACATTTGGCGATGCATTCTGCGGTGCTGGCGGCGTTACCTGCGGTGCTCGTGCGGCTCTTTTGCATCCCGAATGGGCCTGCGACAAATCTGAGTCCGCTGTCAAAACCTACAAACGCAACTATCCAGATGCGAACGTCAGGCTGATGGATCTTTTCACCTTTATCCATTCAAAGCATTCCACTAAGGTAGACATTGTCCATGGATCTCCGCCGTGCCAGACGTTTTCACCCGCGCACACGATCGAATCCGTGACCGATGACGCCAATAGCGCGTGCATTTTTTCGTGTCTGAACTTGCTTCAGAAATCGAAGCCCAGAATTCTTACCATGGAAGAGACAAGTGGCCTGTTTGAGCGTCACAGGGAGACATTCAACCGAGTTATTCTAGACTTCATCGAGCTTGGATATGCAGTGCGCTGGGGCATCCTCAACTGCGTCGAATACGGTGTACCTCAGCTAAGACGAAGATTGGTAATAATTGCATCTGGGTAAGTGGCTTAGGAAGCTTTCGAAGGAGCGATATTAACAAAGCAATCTTGAAGACCAGGCGAATCGCTTCCTCTATTTCCCAAGCCGACTCATGGACTCCCCGGCTCTGGGCTCCGTCCCTTTGTTACTATAAGACAGGCCATCTCTGACATCCGGCCGGGAGCAGCAGACCATAATACCCAGCGAGCGGCAGCTCGTCCGATGAACCGGGCGCCGTGCGATGGCACGGGACAAATCCGAACAATCACCTGTGGCGGAGGTGAAATGATTGCCCACCCTTCGGAACGGCGTAATTTCACGAACAGGGAGTATGCATGCTTGCAGACGTTCCCACGTCGGTATCACTTCTGTCCCCCGCACGTCCGAAAGCAAATTGGCAATGCGGTTCCCCCGAAGCTCGCGCAGGCGGTCTATGAAGAGATCGTTAAGTCGCTTCGTCGGACTGATGAGAGGGAGTTGAGGTATGGGCCCTGGTAGACCAAAGGTTGCATGTACAAACGAGGTTCGATCTGGTTTGTAATATCCCCTGGTCGGTTTGTTTGACACACATACTTTAGCATGTATGGCCATTGAATTTCTTGATGGAAATTTTGAGCTACAGACTATTGTCTTCGTTGAATTTTTACTTGGAGCCTCAGTGAAACCTGCCTCTGCTCGGCGGCGGAACAGCAGAGATGTTCTTATGCTCAGGCTGCTGTGTGGTGATGGAAACAAGTCAGTGAGGTTTAGGATAGTCGAGAGTTGCCTACGAGCTGTTCTTCTGCCTATGATAGCCTTCCCTTCGGCACGGCCATCGGTTTTATGGAAGCCTAGTCTTGCTTATTATAGTATTACCTTTTTAGAATGATCATTTGAGCCATATCGTTTCCGAATTTCAGTCTAAAAAGCCTGTTTGGAACCAACCGTCGAGAAAGGTTTGTCTGTAAGCACGACGATGTTCTATATCAAATCTAGAAATTGGCCTAATCCTGCTGCGATCCTTATCACTAAATAGATACACCAAGGTCAGGTGATAGAAAGCCCAGTATCACACGTATAGACTGAGTATCCAGGTTTACAATGTGCTTCCCTCTTAGAACTTTGCATAATATGCCTGCGGATCATCGACTATCAAGTTGATTTGTCCACAAACAAAGCAGGCCTGAAATCTTAGTTCGATTACTATCATTAAATACGAGAAAAAACCTTTCAGAGGATTTCAAGGAGTTCATATCCCACAGTAGGTACGGCGGACGAAGGCAATTATACTTGTAGCAGCAATATCCCCCGTCAGATAGCTTTGCTCTATGATCCGCCGAGTTCCAATAGGAGTTATAAGTATCTTTTCCAGCAAGCAAGACAGCAAGACATTTCTCCAAGGACTTCTTCATATGTGAGCATCTTTCCGAGCTGTTTCCCAAGCAATGCAAGACAGAAGGCACCTCTCCAAGCATATTTTCAAGTACGTAAGATAGAATGATGCCTGGAAAGGATCTATCTTTGCCCTAGATATTTTCTACTGCCTGATTAACGTTTTACAACATATACAACTCAGAGGCGGAGTCAGCTAGTCTTAGGATTGGACCCTGGTAGACGCCTCGCTACCATTTTTGAAGATTGCTGGACAGGTACTCATCATGAGACGGTGCCTGGAGCAACGCTTCGATTATTTCGAAACGTAACTGATGAGGTACTTTAACCATGGACGTTTATCCAAGATGGCTCGCTGCCTTACTTGTTCGAGTAGGTATATGATAAAATGCTGCTACCTGATCGCTTAGAAACATGCCTCCAAGTGCTAGAAGAAGTGCTTTAAGAGGTGCTTAGAGGAGTAAACTAACCAGTTCTATCGACAGAATACGAGAATGCAGATGAGGTTCAGGATTCGTATTCGACGGATGGCGACTGGGATCTGCCGTAGTCAGGTATGTATGTATCTACAGGACTTGGGTAGGAATCTTACAAATGATGGAACAACCATGCCTTAGAGTCGAGTCGCCTTCTACAGCTCAGTGGCGAGATGTCTGGGAATAGTTGAAAGCAAGCAAGAAGGATCTCCGGACCAACTTGACCTCTGCTGGTGAATTATCGACGGAGGCTTGACTACCGATTGACGGAGGTGGGTGAATTATTGTGCTCAGTTTCAGTTTCAGCAGGCAAAGCGGGAAGGCAAGGAAGGCCATCTTTCAACACTGACTTGCTGGTCTGTTTCTCAATCCTCTTCGTTCGCTACCTCTCACTGCAGTGGCCGTGGTCTGTGCCATATTCCGTGTCATTCCACATCAACTCGCTTTCCCGTTCGTCCCCCAAAGGCCTTTGTCTCTACCTTCCTTCCATCTCTCACTGCCGCTCCTGTCAACCGCCTCCTTCAGACGCTTGTTTATCAAGATGCTGGCTGCTTCACCTGTGTACTGAACGGTGCAGACCCCGTGACCACAGTGCAAGTCACGCTAGTCACCATGGCTCAATTGAAGCGGGTGGCTCGCCGAAGCATAACACAAATGAATGAGGATGAAGACATCCCTGAACCAAGTATTGAAGCCACACCCGCCTTCAAGATCCAGTTGCAGGAACTTGCGACTCTTTGCCAGAGGCTTTGTTCCACTTACCGACCGCCTAAGAACACCTGGCAACTTGGAGACCCCAAGCCCCCCCGGCCCAGCTTACCCATAGGCAAAAATCAAAGCAAGATCAAAAAACAAGATCAACTAGAGATCTGGGGTTCCTGGCCACTGGTGTCGACGTTCTGGGATCCGGCGCAGCATGGATGGCCTCCCTACGGGGTCCGCCTGCCCGACGCCTGGGTCTATATTGCGATCAAGCTTCTCTCCACCACTGAGCGCCATGACAAGTATCCCGCCGACTTTGACGGTAGTGGCATGGTCCGACAAAGCAGGGTACCCTGTGGCCCAACGTTTGTGATCTCCGCCCATGGGGTCTTTGCATATCCGATCTTCAAGGGGTACTACGTTCTATGCGGCGAGGAAGGGAGAAAACACTGCGCCTGGCTGCTCCAGCGCCAACGGGACGCAGCGGGCAATAAATTTCAGTTCAAAACGATCATCGCCGGGCCAGTACTGCCGCCCTCGAGCATGCGTCCACCTCACAGCTCCATCGTCAAGCTACCGCGCCACAGACCCGTGACTACCGCCGACTCGACTACTCCAAAGCGGCTGGACAAAGCGGAAACAGACCGCTGGACGGTATGCCTGGACGACATGGTGCTGCAGTACAAGAAGCCCGACACCTACGAGATAATGCCCTTCGCACAGCTGAGCCCGCGTCTCACCTGCACAGAGTCTTCGGAGTCGGACAAGCTTGTCAACCGCCAGAGCTCTTCCTCTACAACGACCACCACGACTGCTCTGACTGACATTCCCCGCTCGATTAAGCGACCTCGTCCCCAAGCCAGCACACTCCCTGCCACACCTAAAGAGACTACAGCGGTCAGTAGCCCTACCGACTTCTTCAGTCCTCCTAGAGCGTCGAGTTCCTCCACCAAGCAGACTACTCCGGCGCCAGATATCAAACCAACAGCCAAAGGCAGAGGCAAAGTCAAGCATGCCCATGCGGAAAACATTCAGGACCCGGCTAGTACACCTAGCATCAACAGCCCCCCTAATATACTTGCAGCAGAGGAAGTCGTGCAAAACGATAGCAAGCGTCGCCGGACCACTGCACATGGGCAGCTCGTGTACAAGCTCTGTGACTCTTTCATGCAGACCAGAAAGCATTTTGACACATACCTTGCATCTTCCATGGAGGCGGAGAAACGTCATGAGGAGTATCTGAGGGCGCTCGAACAGAGACAGAAAGATCATGACGCCTATATGGAGGCAACCATCGAGACATTCACCCAGATCCAGACTTGTGTCGCGTATTTGCAGAAGGAATTAGGCGGCGGTGAACCTGATGGTGGTGGAGAACAGTCCCTTGCCCAACCGAACGGCATGGAAGATGTGGTGTACGAGACAGATGCAGAGGAGAAACAAGAAGATGAAGAGGATTGAGGTGATTCTGGGGCGGGTTTGGGTGAGGCTGGGTCGGATTGCAATGAAACAGGCAGGTAGCTTTGCGGTATGTCTCCGTATGGCTTCCCGCGATGGGTACGGAAAGATGGGGTCAAGTGGAGTCTACACCAGTCTACGGGAGTGAGGGGAAATAACATCACATGATGATGATGATGATGATGATGATGATGATGATGATGCCCATTGTCAACGGTCGTCTTCTCTCAATTCTGTGTCTTCTGTGTCTATTTGAGTGAGAGATATCAGATCATTTTCGCAGTCTATATGGATAGGGAATTGACTCAAATTCAGTAAAATCGAGTAAAAAACCGTCCAGAATCACCCCAAAAATAAGACCAAATAAGACCTAATAGGACCTGCCGAGGTGGAAGTGAGTGGGCAGCGCTCGGACAGCCGGTGATAGCCGCCCCCATAAACAAAGCAACCAAGCGGCCTCGGTCCGAATCCCCGGCGGTAAAGGGTACCTTAGTTGACGTTACCATACTACGGAGTACTGAGTAACTTATACTCCCCCAGCATGAGCACAGGGTCACTCACTCACTCCCTTTCTTAATTCCTGTTCAATTCTCCGTCTTCTTTCTCCCTTCCTCTCCTCCTCCAGTGATCCTGCTACCTACCATAGCTCACACTCATTGTGCACCCCATTGGGTATTTGGTTGCGCCCCCGTTTTCTCTCTTCTTATCACCCTCTCTTCCATCATGTCTGCCTCTTGTTCAGCGTTGAGACGGCTGACCCACAGGTCTCCTCCCCGCACTTGGCTCTCCTCCTCTTCCCGCATCGCCTCCCTCTCCAGACCTGCTGCTGTCTCCAGTGTCTCCCACATCACATCCAAAACACATCCTCCTTCGACGCTCCTCCGTACCTCTCGATTCTCAACCATGGCGTCTTTGCAGCAAGCTCCTCCGACCATTCCCACCGACCGGCCCTATGACCCCGAGATCCAGGAGCTGAGCAACTACATCCACAACTACAAGGTGGATTCCGACTTGGCGGTAAGTTACGCGGGGCTCCCCCATTCCACCATTCACCACTGTTATTATTCTCCAATACAAAGCTGCATCGCTAACCGCTCCCATCGTTGTAGTACGATACTGCCCGCCTCGTCTTCCTCGATACTCTGGGATGTGGTCTGGAAGCTTTAAAGTTCAAGGAGTGTACCAAGCTGCTGGGCCCGGTGGTTGAGGGCACCATTGTGCCCAACGGCACCCGCGTCCCCGGCACCCCATACCAGCTTGACCCCGTTAACGGGGCCTTCAACATCGGCGCCATCATCCGCTGGCTCGACTACAACGACTGCTGGCTGGCGGCGGAATGGGGCCACCCGTCCGACAACCTGGGCGGTATCCTGGCGGTCGCAGACTGGATCTCCCGCACGAACCGGGCCGGCGGCAACCTCGCCAACGGCAAGATCCTGAAGGTCAAGGACGTGTTGGAGGCGATGATCAAGGCGCACGAGATCCAGGGCGTGCTGGCTCTCGAGAATTCCTTCAACAAGGTCGGGTTGGATCACGTGGTGCTGGTCAAGGTCGCGACCACGGCGGTGGTCGCCAAGATGCTCGGCCTCAGTGAGGAGAAGACCGCCGACGCCATCACCCAGGCGTTCGTGGATGGCCAGTCGCTCCGTACGTACCGTCACTCCCCCAACACGATGTCGCGGAAGTCCTGGGCCGCGGGCGATGCCTGCCAGCGGGCCGTGAACCTGGTGCTCAAGGTGCAGAAGGGCGAGGGTGGCTTGAAGACGGTTCTGTCTGCCCCGGTCTGGGGCTTCTATGATGTCTTGTTCAAGGGCAAGAAGTTCCAGTTCCAGCGTCCGTACGGCAGCTATGTTATGGAGAATGTTCTGTTCAAGGTTTCATATCCTGGTAAGTTGCGCCTCATCGATGGAGGGGGATTTCTCTGACTGGATTCTAGCCGAGTTCCACTCTCAGACTGCGATCGAGGCTGCGGAGATTGTGAACGCGAAGCTCAAGGCTCTGGGCAAGAGCGCCAAGGACATTAAGGAGGTCGTTAACCGCACGCATGAGGCGTGCATCCGGATTATCGACAAGCAGTTCAAGGCGATGGACAACTTTGCTGATCGCGACCACTGCGTTCAGGTAAGCAAACTGAGATCGCTGGTTCTGGCCATGTACTGACTGACTGCATCTAGTACATGGTTTCCACCATGTTGGCCTTCAACCGCCTGACAGCCAACGACTATGCGGATGGCTCTGAGGCGGCCACCTCGCCCCTGGTCGAGGACCTGCGCAAGCGCATCCGCTGTGTTGAGGACCCTCACTTCACCGCCGACTACCATGACCCGTCCAAGCGAACCATCGCCAACGCCCTGACCGTCACCCTGCACGATGGCACCGTCCTGGACGAGGTGGTCGTCGAGGCACCTCTGGGCCACCGGCTGCGTCGGGAAGAGGCCAAGCCCGAGATCCTGGCCAAGTACCAGCGTCACTTGCAGGCCCACTTCGACCAGGCTCGCATCGACGAGCTTGTCAAGGTCGGGTTGGACCAGGCGGCTCTCGAGAATTACGACGTGGACAAGTACGTCGATTTGTATGTCAAGGACCAGATGGTGGCCGCCCACTAGTGTAGCATGATTTAGCGAGCATGATGTTAGATGTCAACGAGGAAGACCATATTTATTGCAATTAGTTGCTGATCTGCGTAGCCATCCAATAAAGTCCATGTGTATCCAGAGACATAAACCGGTAAGGCAGATACCACCGACCATAACCAAGGGCACAGTATCCTCAGCCAAGCTCTACAGCCAGTGACCTGTCTAAACCCAATCTGCCACTTACCACACCCTCCATCAAACTGTATGCAACAAGTCCAACCCTCGTATCTACCGCATCGCAGCGATAGGCAATCGGCGATAAGACCGCCCGCAGGCGAGCCTCTTCATCCACGCCCACGCATCATCCCCCACCAACAATAGTGCTGCTGCCTACCACAGAACCTACCTCGGCAACCGCGACACGAGATAACCCTCCATCTTCTGAAGGGTGAGGTTCTACCTCCCCCCCCCACCAATGTCACACGCACCGAATCAAACACCATGCGAATGGAAAGAGTTTATCAGCTCATCTCAGACTCGATAGATCTAGACTGCTCACGCTCAAGATAAGCGTACCGTACAAACCAACGGACCCACTATGCCACAGAAACCTGGGGAAAAACTCAGCCGAGATCTAGGCGAGGACAGGCAGGGCAGGCACTGCAGCTTTGCCGTTTATCTCGGCACGGGAAAGAAGGGCTCAGGCTTGGGGGTCATAGGCTGCGCTAGTAGCGTTGCCGACGCAGCCAATTGCAGGGGGGCGCTTACGCTTGGATGATAGAGCATTACCGACCTACTGGCACGTAGTACGTATGGATTTCTGGGATGGTTATCACGGGGTGCTGAGGCAGAGGACAAGAGAAACGGAATGCGGGGGTTTTGATTGACGCTGGGATACATACGTGTGCTGGGTTTTGGTATCTGTGGCGATAGATGTGTTGTAAGTACTGTACATGGTAGTTATAAGAGAGGATGCCCTGGGTGCGGTGATTCTGGGGGACAGTCACGTCTTTCTTCTTTTCAAGAAGGTTTCCTGTTCCTGGATTTCTGTCTGATGTCTATTGATCTTGATGCAGCAATGACACCCTCCACAGACGAGAAGAAGCCCCCCCTCGAGATGGGCACGGAGCTTGGGGCCTGCGAGAGCGTGGAGCATGGCTCATCGACGGAGTTCTCGGCCGAGGCGGAGAGGAAGTTGGTTCGGAAGATTGATTTGATGTGTGTTTTTCTTGCTTCTTCTCCCAGGAATCAGCGGGCGGAGGAGGGCTGGAGTCATGCTGATGCCGATGGTCTAGGATCCTCCCCATCATGCTCGTCGCGTACATGATGTCCTTCATGGACAAGCAGACCCTGAGCTATGCGGCCATCATGGGGATCATGGAGGATCTGCGCCTGACGGGGGCGGAGTACAGTTGGTCGTCGGCCATTTTCTACTTTGGTTATCTTGCGTTCAGGTTGGTCTGAGCTCTGTGGAAGGAGTTTGAGTGGAAATCACTGACGGGCTCAAAGCTATCCGGCCTCGTTGCTGATGGTTCGCTTTCCCTTGGGGAAGTATCTGGCGTGTACTTAGTATGGGTTCACTCTCTCAGAGCTCTGGGGAGGTGGACCGTGGCTTACGCGGATAACAGCATCGTCTGGGCGATCGTGCTCGCCTGCCACGCGGCCACGACCAACTTCACCGGACTGATGGTGGCCCGATTCTTCCTGGGCTGCACCGAAGCCAGCGTCTCCCCCGGGTTCAGCCTCCTGACCTCGCTCTGGTACCGCACCGCCGAGCAGCCCCTGCGCCACGGGATCTGGTTCTGCGGGAACTCGCTGTCGCTGATCATCGGCGGTGCGATTGCCGTGGGAATCTGGCAGATCGAGTCCAGTCTGGCTACCTGGAAGGTGAGTCCACAATACCCCCAACCTCCCCACTTGACTTGGGTTACTGACCCGTGGGACCACCGTCAGTGGCTGTACATCATCTTCGGCCTGGTCACCTTCACCTGGGGCGTGGTCATGCTCTTCCGCCTCCCTGACTCCCCGACGAACGCCACGTTCCTCACCCCGGAGGAGAGAGCCATCGCCGTTGCGCGCCTGAAGTCGAACCGCGCCGGATACAAGACGAATCGGATCGATAAGCGTCAGATAGTGGAGGCGTGCACCGATCCCAAGACGTGGTTCCTGGGGGTGTTGATTCTGGGCTGCAATATCCCCAACGGGGGGTACACTACGGTTAGTAGGCTTTTCTGTCGTCGAAAAACCTGCATCTTTCTCCAACTACTAACTTGGTTTACGGTGGGCAGTTCTCAGGTCTCATCCTCAAGGGCTTCGGCTACAACACCCTGAACACCCTCCTCCTCGGGATCCCGGGGGGATTCATCTCGTTCCTCGTGGTGTTAGCCTCGTAAGCCACCGCCCCCGCTCTCAGAAACCCAGCAGCAACCCATACATGAGATCCCAGAATAGCTGACGAAGAGAAAAGATGCTACGCCTCCTCCAAGATCCCCAACAGCCGCTGCACGGTCTCGATCATCCTATCGTGTTCGAGGTACGTCTGTCCACCGCATAGCATAGCCATCCTCATTCTCCCCACCCTAAACCCTCAAAGCATCCTAGGCACCGCCCTCGTCTACGCAACCCACCACAACGCCTCGCGCTACGTCGGCCTGATCCTCATGAGCTTCTACGCGGTCACCATGCCCCTGTCCATGGCGCTGATCAGCGCCAACGTCGGCGGCGTGACCAAGCGCAGCACCGTCAGCGCCATCTACTTCATCCTGTACTGCGCGGGGAATATCATCGGGCCGCAGCTGTTCTTCGAGCGGCAGGCGCCGGTTTATCAGGTTTGCTTTGCCCTTCTCTGTGGATTTGTGCTAGGGGACTCAGTGCTTTTGTGGGGTTGAGTTGCGGATGCAGAAAGCAGGGCTAATGAAGGTAACAGAGCGGCTTCGTGGCGATCTTCGTGTGCTTGGCGGTGGTGGTGGTTGTGCTGGGGGGACTGGTGGTGTATTTGAGGGGGGAGAATGCGAGGCGGGATAGGTTGATGGTGGGTATAACAGGGAGTGGGGAGCAGGAGGGCGAGGAAGAGCTGCTGGATGTAACGGATTTGAAGAATGAGCGGTTCAGGTATGTTTACTGATTCGGCTGTACGTGGTTTACTTTATCATGACAGAGAGAGTCTTGGAGTGGTGTAGATGCATACCGTAGCCTTGAATATAATGAGATCATTAGTCAAAAGTATCAAAGAAGTAGATCTTCAGCTCCCATGATAGTGATGGGATACGATGGATGATTATGACTGACCTTCTTGCATATTTTTGCAACTTTCTTTGTTTTACTTTGCCCTGATCATTCACGCTAATATAACGATGGAATTTGGGAATGGTTTCGGTGAATAGTTGTTTGCTTCGAAAATTGGAATTGGCCTACCGTGGCTAATAACAGGCCGCGCGCGGTCCTATCGGCAGAATGAATGATTCTCCTCTGACTGTGCCTGGTCAGTCTAATGTCAGTCTATTTGGAACCCAAACCTCTTGGGTTCTTTTGATGATGATACAATCTTTTCGTCCTTGGAGCCCTTTTCCCTGCGGTTACCTAGAGCCAGGCTTTGCCCTAACCTAGCCCCAGAGCCTATACAGACCAGCGCTGACTTGATATCATTTATTGCTGTTGATAGCAAGAGTCTTCTGCGACGGATCAGCTACTTTCAGGGCGTACTCTATGCATTGAAATTCGGAATTCAAGTCGCGAAGACTATGTTCGGACCGAACGGAGAGAGAATTCGATGGGGATAATCTGATTGATAGCCCATCCACCTGCAGCTTGAACCCCCCCCCCTTGCACGCATGCCCTGAACTCTAAACTACTAGTATATGAACGTCTAGTTTCGCATCTGCAGAAAATAGAGCCTCAAACCGACGAACCATCAAGCTATGCATTGTACGATGTTGAAAAACACATGATCGAGCGTTCCTTGAACAGTGCAAATGACGGCACGTTCATTGCAGATAAAGGCGTTGGATCTGGACTTCCTCACGATTGAATCCATCAGAGTGGATTCGCGGCATGTACCACTAACTCGGTAGCGGAAGAGACCCGAACCAAAACTCCTTCAAGCTGGATGCCAGATAATGGAGGTCCACGGATAAGATTCCCTGGATGGCAAGATTCAAAAGGACTTCGTGTCAAATAGGTCCGGAGGCTTCCGTAACGAACCCAGAATTCAAACCTCTCATGCTCGCTTGTCCAGATACCTAGTCTCGAGCAGCACGCAAATACGTGCAGACCAGGATCAACCACCTCTAGTTGTCTACCATGGCTCTCTCCCTCACAGTTTCGCGTCACCCCCAACTAACCGCTGCCAATCCTTCTCCCCAAAGGGCACGTATCCTTCAGCTCCAGGCGGCAACCAATACAACCGATCACTCTGACCCCCCACAACGTGGGCCCCCAGTTTGGCCGGCTCGACCCCTTCCTCGCGCAAGGGCACTTTATTCTGCTTGTGGTTGTGGATATGCGAGGTCTGCGTCACCAGCCGCAGGAACACCGGCACCGCGTAGCGCGGGAGACGGGCGCGCGCAAACTGCGCCAGCGCCGTGAGATCCAACGCCCCCTGGACGGCGGCGTCAGGGCTAAGTTGCAGTGCGGCGCAGCCGGCGCGCCCGTCGTGCGACGGCACCAGGACGCCGTAGACGTTGGCTTCCTGGATCCCTGGAAATTCGCCTAGGGCGTGAGAGACTTCGGCAGTGGAGCTGTTGCCATTAATTAGGAGAAGGTTTGGCTGGCGGGATTGGATGAGCAAGTTGGGGGGGGGGGGGGGGGGGGAAGGAGCTTACACATTCTCACTCTTCCATCGGAAGGTATCGCCCAGGCGATCGAGGAAATACCACCGCCCGTCGGCGTCCCGCCGCAGGGCGTCCCCGGACCGATACCACAGATCCCCAGGCTCAAACACATCGCGCAGGAACTTCTTGTCCGTGGCCTCCTGGTTGCGCCAGTAGCCCGGGAACGCCGACTCGGCGGGCACGCGCACGAGCATCTCGCCGCCAACCTCGTAGGGCTGGCGCACCGCGAACCCGGTGGTCGGATCGCGCTGGACCTCCCCGGAGTGAGGGTCGATCGCGACCGGGGCGTAGACGCCGCGCATGAGCCACCGGGAGAGGGCGCCGTGGTGGCCGACGGCGCTGGCGGTGAAGGGCCCGCGGTTGTAGTTGTAGAGACTGAAGACGCCCTCGGTGCTGTTGAAGAACTCGCCGACCTCGGCGATGCCGAACCGCTGCTGGAAGCGCGTCCACACGTCCGGCCGCAGCCCGTTGCCGTACATCATGCGCACGCGGTGCGCGCGGTCCAGCGGCGAGGGCGGCGCCGCCAACAGGTACCGGGCGGTCTCGCCGACGTAGACGAAGGCCGTCGCCTGGGCGTCGTGGACGTCGCGCCAGAAGCTGCGCACGCTGAAGCGCGGCGCGATCGCGATGCTCGTCCCGCGCACCAGCGCCACGATCAGCGCCACCGCCGACGTCCCGTGGTACAGCGGCATCGCGCTGTACCACCGGTCGCCGCCGGGGCCGACCCCGTCGCGCGTCGAGTACGCCCGCAGCCCCACGGCGACGTGCAATCGCTCCATCCGGAAGGGACATCCCTTCGGGAGTCCCGTCGTGCCGGAGGTGTAGAGCAGGATGGCGGGCGAGCTACCGGTCGTCTCGCGCGCCAGCCGGCCGTCCTCCGGGACCTCTGCCGGCAGGGTCGCGAGGACGGTGGTGGTGAAGGTTTCATCCAGGGTGATCAGGGTCAAGCCCAGTTCGGTCTCCAGGGTGGCTCGTCGGTCGTCAATCCGTGCCCGACATTCTGCGTCCGGGTCCACCAGGAGAAGCTTCGCGCCGCTGAGGGCCAGGCTGTGCACTAGCGCATCGCCGGTGAGATGGTAGTTGATGGCCGCCGGGGCAGCGCCGATGCTCCACAGCCCCAGCCACGCGAAGATGAATTCGGCGCGGTTTTGGAGATAGAACGCGACCAGGTCGCCCGGTTGCACGCCGCGGTGGCGGTAGAACTGGGCGTAGCGGGCGGCCGCGGCGAGCACCTCCCGGTAGGTGAAGGACCGCTCCCGCGTCCAGATGGCGGTTAGATCGGGGTACTTGGTAGCGGTCTCAATAAAATTGAACCACAGGTTGACCTGGCCTCGGCTTTGGGCTTGCTGAGTGCTGCGGGTGGCCTGCCGCACCGTGCGCAGCACCGCTAGATCTTTGGTCAGGTGGAACTTGGCATTGAGGTACGCGGCGGCCGTTAGAGCGGCAGCGGTTGCTACAGCTGTCAGTATGCCATATTAGATTCGAAAAGTGAGAGCTGTACAGCACATACCTAAAGCCATATTGAGGTTGTTGAGGATCAGGACACCAGGGTGGTGCTGGGTGGGTCACATACTTATTTGTAGGGGGCAAAGGTTGAATTGCCGGACACCTCGGCTCGTCCGCCCATTCCGGCTCAACGCTTCATGCACAGACAGACAGACAGAAACTTGGCCAGCGGGGTCCAGCTGTTTTACTTTGATTGGCCATCGGGCTTTCTAGAAGGCCTGTTTCTTGCCTCATTATTGAGCTTGTTTGTCTCTGGGTTTGTTGCTTTTGTGTTCTGTGGAAAAGGCATTTCGGTGAGTGAGTAATGATTTCGACCCACCGAAGAATGCTACAATTCCTCGGTCGGCGACAACTGGAACCTTCGCCTAACAAGCTTATTAGGCTGAATAGACCGTAAAGAAAACGATCCTTAATCTTAACAGTCGGTGAGTTATGGCATGGATGGAGCGAGCTAATTGTATCCCCCGCACTGGCAGCCACGCGTCCTCGTATTACCCCATCCGTGCACTCGGCTGTGCTGTGTCCAACGCCACCTCCTCACACCAAGTCTCGATACTCCGTGGTAGGAATCAATTTCTCATGCACGCCCTTTTCGCTCGGCTGGATTGTCTTCCACGCCCACGCCTCGTCTTTCTCGGGCCCGTTGCTCACCCCTTGCAGCACGTTCACCACATACCGCCCGATCGTGGGGAGAAACTTGTAGCTGTGGAATGAGCCTCCCACGGCGAGATAAAGGTTGGCTAGCCGAGAGTCGGGATGCCGAGTGATCAGCGGATGCTGGCTGGGGGAGACGGCGTCCCAGCAGAGGCGATACCACTCGGGCTGGCGACGTCCGCGGTCGAGAAATTCGGGCAGTCGGGGTCGGATTTCCTTCAGGTGCGCCTCCTGCATCTTCTCTGGGACTGTCAACTGATCGGAGACCGGCACAGAAATCTCGTGTCCTGATGCGGTGCGGATGGTGTTGGTGAAAGAGGAGGCCGTCGTAAACTTGAGGATCCCGTCTGCCGTGGGTGGAATCACCTCACCTGGACAATCGTCAGCTTTGCAGGTATTCGAATAACAACAAAGAAGTAGCCTCACCCTGTCCCCCATAAACGACGACCGGCAGCCGTGCGTAGCGCTCGTGCTCTGCGGGCGACAGACGGAAATGCGACACGCACACCCCTGCCGCGGTGATCTGTCGCTCGACCCGGTCCGCCCCGGGGAGATCGAGCTCATCCTCGATGGACGACATGAGCTGACTCGTCCACGCGCTGGTCGCCAGAACGATCTGGCTGGCCGTGTAGACCGTCCCGTCGGCGGTTTTCACGCCGAGCGCGCCGGTGTCGTCCCGTGTGATGCGACGCGCCTCGCCGAGTTCAAACCGGACGCCCCGCTGGACGGCCTCCTGCGTCAGGATCTGCAGCGCCTTGCCTGCATCGGTCCAGCCCGCGGAGGGGTTGAAGTAGTAGGACCCGAACGGCGAGCAGTCGGTCTGTTGGAGCAGTCCGCCCCACGCTTCGCGGACTTCCGCCTCCGTCATGTCGACGACGCAGTCATCGCGACCGGCGCGGTGGAAATTCCGACGAACGCGGACGGCAGTGTCGCTGTCTTTCTCATCCATGCAGATCCATCCAGACGGATGGTGGACCCCGGCGGCTTGGAAGCTGGGGAGGGATTTCCAGGCGTCGAGGGCCTCGAATCCGAGGGTCATGTAGAGCGGGTTGGAGTAGTCTGCGCGGATAATCTTATTGATATCAGTAGAGGCTGCAGGGGGCGGAGGGGCTGGACTGCGATCGAGGAGGAGGATGCGTGGCTGCGGCGATTGGAGCGAGAGATGGTAGGCCGTACTGACACCGAAGATCCCCGCTCCAACAATGAGGATATCATACGGGGCGTCTACCGTCATAATGAGAATATATCGGAGTTTGTCTGCGACAGAACAAAGAAGTGACCAGTACTGTGGTAGAGAACAATGAGATTGTGAGGGAGGAAGAGATGAAAGAGAGAGGAGAAGGTGGAGGAGGTGGATGAGGTGAGGGGAAGAAAGAATCCCTGAGGCTTATCTGATCCTCTGATATCATCGCCTCTTTATCTCTCCCCCACAACAAACTCCCTCCATCCAATGCTATATAAACAACCCTTCGCCCATTTTGCACTTGCTCCATGTTGAGTATGGGCTTGGCTTTCTTCTATCCTTAACACAACCTGATCTGTGAGCCTTCGACTACCGCCTTTGACTACCGTCAGTCTACTTTCGCTAACCCGCAGCCATGGGTACTCAGTGGATCAACTCTGATAATCTTGACCTCCTGCAAGAAGCTGCAGACGCAATGTATACCGACGAAGGCAAAGGCAAAGGCAATACCCAGAGGCTGGCTGACAAGATCACAGACAACCGAGTGCCGAGCTACATCCGAGGAGAGCTGCAGCTTCCCCGAAGGAAACTCGCGCCGCCTCCCCATGCCACCACTGCGACAGCCCGGCCCATCGTGCACGCCAACATCGTGACGCCTGGACGCAAGGGCTCTACCAGCGGTATCCCTTCCCCGGCCCGCACTCGCTCGAACAGTCACCCTACACGTCCGGTTCTCTCCTCCAGTCTACCGACCCGTTCCAAGGGGCCTGCCGTAACCCCTGCGACCGCGCCTTGCGCTCCGCGGACTGGAAGCCCCCCAGTGATGCGATGTCACCGGTGTCAGAAGCTGCTGGACGACAGCCCGATTATCTGGAATAACTATCCAGGAGGACGGCCCGGTAGCCCGCCCAGAACCACGAGGTGGCATTCCTATTGCCTGTTTGGGCTGATTGCCGAGGACACATTGAGGCTCATTCCCCAGAAGGAAGCTCCCAAGAGTGAAGCTGTTGCGGCAAAGATATTCAACCGCTTTTTCGGTGGCGTGATGGGTTCTGCATGAAGAGATTTTGCATCGGTTAGATAAGGCTTAGATTGCGACTCCTAGACTGCGATTCCTAGATTGTGACTCTTACATAGATTGTGACTCTTCCGATTACTTTGGGGATTACTACAATGGCATTTTTTTTTCTTTACATTTCTTTACATTATACTTGGCATATCCTTTCTTTTAATACAGCAATTTTTCTATGAGTTTCTCCTTGTATTTTTGTGAGACAGTAGAGTCCCAAGATACTTGCTAGCATTGCTGCGGCGCTATGGTGGGCCAGAAGCAGATAATTCACAGATAGCATACTATGTGTTTATTCTAGTCTCTCTTTCGTAACAGCAATATTATGGCAGAACTCTAATAGTAACAACTTACAATCCCAGCAGAGTCGGCTTAGTCAGTATGGCTGTATCCCATAGTGATAGACAGTTCGATAAAAAGAGGGGCGTAGTGCAACCTTGACAATCCCAGGGACACTGGACACCTCCTTCTCCGTTGGTATGTTTCAAGCACCCATTTCTTTGTCCACAACCTGAAGCTTTGTGTGTTTGCTCATTCAACTCCTTGTTTCGAGTATGTAGTCTTCTTCACAACGCTCCTCCACCACAGGGGTTCCTCGAGCCTTCATTATGCGATTATACAAAGATCAAGCAACGTTCTTCAGCGATGGGGAGGTAGTGTTGAACCTCCTCAAGGTCATCGATAGCTATATAACTTGCCTACAGACCTCCGACTCGGAAAGGCAAAAAGACCAAGATCTCCATCACGGATCGCCTCGGGACAACCACGCATCACTAAAAGCTTTGAGCTCGGAACGCACACCATTATCACAATGTACCCCTTCGATGGTGCGTATATTTCCAATGGGAAGCTGGTTCGACCCAAGCACCATTCGGGCAAGGAGAAGAAGGATCATAAGGATACCTCAAAGACCTCTGCCCACTCGTCCAAGAAGCACCACCATGAATCTCCAAAGGCACAAGCCAGCCACGCCCACAGCAGTACCACCCACGAGGAGCACCCACCCCATCACACCGCCGAGGATTGGAAGGACCACGACCCGGCCCTCCGGATTCCCTACTCCTCAACCGACTACGAATCGGAGGCGGTCTGTGCCCTCTCAGCTGCGAAGCTGGTGACCTCGCCGAACTTCTGCTGGGAGGACGCCTTGTGGGCGGGCTGCTCGCGGCATCTGACCGGCTGGAGCAACGTGAAGGCGCGGGTGGGGCTGGGGACGACGAAGCGACTCTGCTCGGTGGTCCTGGACACCGGCTCCCCGTTTAGCATCATGAGAACCGATCATGCGCGCGAAATCCCCGGGGCCAAAATCTGTCCCTGCGAGTCGCCCTTCATGCTGCACAGCTGGGACCAGGAGGACGTCCAGCATGAAGTGACCGAGTACGCGGTCTTCCACATGTTCATCCCCGAGCATCTGGGCCGGCCCAACGAGGACCGGCGCTGGGCGCGCATCGTCGTCCGGGCCTTTTGTGTCCCCGGGACGTCGGACACCTTGTCTCTCGTGATCGGCTCCTCCCTTATGGCCCAGGAGGGGATCACCCTCGATCTCAAGAATGGCGTCGGAGTGGTGAGCCCCGGGGATCTTGAGTTCCGTCTGGATATGGGATATAATCCCGAGGCGCCAAATTGTAATGTCGAGTGAGTCCGTTCGTATCTACATGGATGCATACAGAGACTCAAGTACCTACCCCAATACAATACGTTGTTTATTCTCAGATTCTACTATACTTTCTTCGAATCTTCACCCTCTGTTTTCAGAAGATGCGTCTACCGAATGCAGAAATCCACCCATATATACGTGTTTAGTACATGCATACTTACAGCAACAGACCCATTTCCACCTTAACCCTCACAACCGCGCAACCTTAGCAACCTGCATCTGTTCCTCGCCCTGCGCCTCCTCCAACCACTCCACAATCGTCTCGACCAACCCATCGATCTCATCTTCCGTATTCCCCGCATGAAGACACACGCGCACGCGCTCCTGGCCCGCCGGGACGGTGGGCGGCAAGATGGCGCGCACGACGTAGCCGCGGGCCTGACACGCGGCCGCCAGCCGGCGGGGCAGAGCGCAGCGCAACGAGAAGATCGGGGACCCCGGGTGATGGTCGAGGGTGAACAGCGTCGCGTCCACCGGCTGGATGGCGGTTAATCGCTCCCGGAGATACCGGATCCGCTGGTGCAGCGTTTCCTGCAACTATGTCGCGTCAGCCTCCCATCCTACTAACATCCGCGGGCCTTCTTGTTCCACAGATGCGGGGGACTACTCACCTCGACGGTCTCCCCGCCCTCCAGCATCTCATACGCCGTGCGGATCGCCGCGAGGAACGGAAACCCCAGCGCGGTCGTATAGATCAGACTCCGCGCATAATTGATGAGGTATTCCCTCGTATCAGGATCGCAAAGCACGACCGCTACTCACACACCACAATCTAGTCAGCCAGCGTTCATCTTCTCCCCCAAAAACCAGCCCCCCCAATGATCCTGATAAAAAGGAAAACATACCACCATGACACCCCAAAGCCTTCCCAAACGTATGGACCCGGACGTACATGCGCCCCTCCAACCCCAGCCCCTGCACAACCCCCGCGCCTTTCGGCCCACACACCCCCGTCGCATGCGCCTCATCCACGACCCAATACCCATTCCCGCGCGGCAGCAACGCATCCACGACGGCCACAAACTCCGTCAACGGGGCCACATCCCCATCCATACTGTACACGGACTCGACCACCACAAACACATTCCGGGAACCATCCCGCAGCGTCGGGTCGAGCTGGATCTGCGCGCTGAGCACCGCGTGCAGACTCTGGGGGCTGCTGTGCCGGAACGCCAGGGCCTGGGAGGCGCGGGAGCGCCGCATGCCCTCGTGGGCGCTGGCGTGGATGGCTTCGTCGTACAGGATCAGGTCGTTGGGCTGCGGGAGCGTGGACAGCACCCCCCAGTTGGCGTCGAAGCCGCTGTTGAAGAGGAGGGCGGAGTCGCTGTTGTGGAAGCGCGCTAGTTGGGACTCCAGGGCTTCCGTGGAGGCGGAGTTGCCGTCGAGGAGGCGCGAGCCGCCGCTGGCGAGCGGGTGGGAGGGCGGGAGGGTGGTGAGGTGGTGCAGGTAGCGGCGGCGGTAGAGGGGGTTGGTGGAGAGGGAGAGGAAGTCGTTCGAGGAGAAGTCGGTGGCATTTGGGGCGGGGAGGGTCAGTTTGCGGAGGGTGTTGTTGCGGGCGCGTTGGTGGAGGGTTTGGCGGAGGGTTTGGCGGAGGGAGGGTTGGGGTGTGGGTGTGTGTGAGGGGGAGGGGGAGGGTAATGGTGATGAAGAAGGTGAAGTCGAGGGGGGCATGATGGATGAGGGTTTACGGGGAGTCTGTACAGTACTGAAGGCTACGATGTACATGTATATGCTACAATCTGGGGATGGGGGGGCTATATGAGTCTCGATTATCTTTAGTCCACTCCTGTGTAATCCCATTTGTCTATTTTGGATCGGTAGTTCAGAAATTAGGTCGAGGCCAAGCAATAATCAGCTCAATCTCGGAGATGCTGGGGGGGGGGGAGGGTGGGAGATGGGTGGAGTAAAGCAATCAATTTGATTGTTAGTTACTCCGTGATTATCCAGGATTCCAGGTGCACTAACTAGGGTTACCGTTCGCCGGCGTAGAGGCTAGTAGGCCGCCTACAATAAACTAGAACTCGTAATGGGGCAGGGCAGGGCAGGGCAGGGCAGGGCAGGGGGCCTGAGAATAAGGTAAGAGTCATCGTTCGTTCTGCCTAATTGTCAGATTCAACCTTGCCCAGAGCGATTGAATTAGAACACGACCAGAAAAACCCCCAGCAAATCCATCTTGCAAATGGAAATTGTTGACTGTTGACTGTTGACTGTTCACTGTTGAGAGCCGGCTCCACCGCTCCACCGAGCCTTTCCAAACTGCCTTGCCGGCTTTTTAGTTTTCATCCTCGGTTCGGAGCTTCTTTTTTCGTCATTGTTCCATTTCTTATCGTTCCTGATTGTCTCTTCGCCCGCTTTTCTTCCCCACTTCCGTTTCCTCCCACCGGAAGAGACAGACTCTCGACCTCGGCCCTTTTCAAGACAGCAGCTACAACTTACAAGTGCTATGAACTTGCAGCCGAGCTGAGATTTGTGATGAGGGCATAGAGAATTCTCCATTGAGTTTTGCAATTGAATCGCACACACTCCCCCCCCACAAAAATGCCCGCCGCCGCGCTCTGGCGCTCTCTGCGCGCCCACCAGGTCTACGGCGCCAACACCGACGTCGGCAAGACCATCGTCTCGACGCTGCTGTGCAATGCCTTGCAGCATCACGGACCGGTGGGCTTCCTCAAGCCCGTCTCTACCGGGCCATTGAATGAAGCCGATGATCGGTACGGTGCTCCCATTCCACACACTCAAGCACACTGCTAACGGATTCAAACGCAGCCACATCCAACGCTACGCCCCGCACACGCAGACCAAATGCCTCTACCAATTCGCCGACCCGGTCAGCCCGCACCTCGCCGCCCACAAGACGGGCGCCGTGCCCAGCGACCCCGAACTCCTCGCCGCCATCCACCACACCCTCAGCACGTGGTCGTCGCAAACCGCCACCAAGCACGCCCTCGTTGAGACCGCCGGCGGGGTGCACTCCCCGGGCCCCAACGGCACCTCGCAGGCGGACCTCTACCGCCCGCTCCGGCTGCCCATCATCCTGATCGCCGACTCCCGACTCGGGGGCATTTCGGCCTCCATCTCCGCCTACGAATCCCTCCTCCTGCGCGGGTACGACGTGCACTCCGTGCTGCTGTTCCGGGACGACTACTACCAGAACCACAACTACCTACAGCAGTATTTCGCCAAGAAGGCCATCCCGCTCGTCGCGGTGCCGGCGCCGCCGGCGCCGCCGGATCCGCGGGACGGGGAGGCTGTGAGTCAAGATGCGGAGGCGATGGGACGGTACTATGAGCGGACTGTCAGAGAGGGCCGGTTGGGCG